CATTTCTGAATTTCTGAATTTCTGAATTTCTGAATTTCTGAATTTCTGAATCTCCGAATCTCTGAATTTCTGAATTTCTGAATTTCTGAATTTCGGAATTTCTGAATTTCTGAATCTCTGAAAGAATTTCTGAATTTCTATTTTTTCTGAATTTCTGAATTTCTGAATTTCTGAATTTCTGAATTTCTGAATTTCTGAACTTCTGAATTTCTGAATTTCTGAATTTCTGAATTTCTGAATTTCTGAACTTCTGAATTTCTGAATTTCTGAATTTCAAAGTTTTCGAATTTCTGAATTTCGGATTTTTTTGGAATTTCAGAAATTCGGAGTTGTCGAGTTTCAGATTTTCAGGTTTTCAGAGTTTTAGAATTTCTGAATTTCAAGATTTCAGAATACCAGAATTTCTGAATTTCTGAATTTCTGAATTTCTGAATTTCTGAATTTCTGAATTTCTGAATTTCTGAATTTCTGAACTTCTGAATTTCTGAATTTCTGAATTTCAAAGTTTTCGAATTTCTGAATTTCGGATTTTTTTGGAATTTCAGAATTTCAGAATTTCAGAATTTCAGAATTTCAGAAATTCAGAAATTCAGAAATTCAGAATTTCAGAATTTCCGAATTTCAGAATTTCAGAATTTCAGAATTTCCGAATTTCCTGGAATTTCTGAATTTCTGAATTTCAGAATTTCAGAATTTCCGAATTTCCTGGAATTTCTGAATTTCTGAATTTCTGAATTTCCTGGAAATTCAGAACTTCAGAATTTTTGAATTTCAGAATTTCAGAATTTCTTGGAATTTCAGAAAATTGGAGTTTTCGAGTTTCAGATTTTCAGATTTTCAAAGTTTTAGAATTTCTGAATTTCAAGATTTCAGAATACCAGAATTTAAGAACTTCAGACCCACATGGTTTGACTGTAGTTGTGCTCATTTTCGCGCGTATCACCGGCTCCACAAACTGAGCAACCAGCTCATCAGCAACCACTTTTATCGATTCAAACGTTTCCAATCCGGTTGGCACGATTTCCCGTTCTGGCAGAAGGAAACCGTGGCTGAAAATTGAAATTTCCTCCTCAAAATTATTGAGAATGTCTTGAAATCTCACCCCATCATGGTATTTTTAGGCCGTAACTCAATCAAATAGGCATATGGGACCTTCAATTGTCCCTTGGCCCAATCATGGGATCCTCCAGAAGCTTCGTCTGAAAAAAAATTGGAATAGTTCAAGCTCAATTATCTCAAGCTCAATTATCACTGTAACAGATATCGGAAAAATGTTAATTGATAAAATATTGCTGATAACATGATAAATATTTTCTGTTTACTATTTTTTGATATCTTTCACAGGTAATGAGATATTTGTGCTTAAATTTGACGGTCGCGAAGCTAATCGCCATGCTCAGAAGGCGCTCTCATACTTTGACCCGCTCAATCTCGTTTCTTGTGAGAGATATCAAAAAGTTACCAACTGATAAAATTTTTATCATAATGTCAGCAACATTTTATTAGTTGATAAGTATTTGATATCTCTAACACAAAGCTAGATAATTGAGCTTAAAGCGTGCAACGTCTATTTTGCGCCCAAAAACAGGAAATTTGAAACGGTCAACTTTGAGCTCAAATATTTCGGTTTCTAGAGAAGATATCAAAAAGTTGTCAACTGATAAAATGATCGTCATAAAATTGTTTACATTTTAATAGTTGAACATATTTTGATATCTTTTATTGGAGCCGAGATAATTGATCTTAAAGTATGCAAGGTTTATTTTGCGCTCCCAAATGGGAAATTGAAGGTATTCGAATTCCCGCCAAACCAAAAACCCCCTTACACATCAAATCTGCTCCAGTGCCAACTTGATATTTTGTACCGTAGAGCTCATACAACGCCTTGGTTGCTCGCAGAGCCAATGGTCTCAACCCAGTATGATAGTCCTGTGGATAGCTTTGTTTTCGGTGTCCATATGGAATAAGCCACATTTGAGAATATGAATGAAGCGAGATAAATGCTTCTGGAGTGTTCTGTTCGAGGAAATCTCGAACTGCTTGAGATTCTGGCTCCGAGAAGGCAGAGGAACCATGATAGGTGTCATGGCATGGGTCGGAAGAAGAGCCGGTGGCTGGAAATTTGATTCTTTTTCTAAAACTTCTGAAAACGCACTTTGAACTTTTTTTTTCAAAATTTTTGAATTTTTCAGAGTACACTAAATAAAATCTGATGTGAGCTTCATTTTTGCAGTGGACAACGTTTTGGTGCAAACGCGCTCTAATGAGATAAATCCCCTTTCAGCTGCCTGAGGCCGAACCCGCCTTGCGTCAAGCAGCAGGGAGGTGCTCTTCCACCTGGCATATCTCTCTATGGTAAAATTTTACAAAAAAGTTGTCAACTACAAAAATGAAGCCCTAGTTTTGTTCAGTATACTCTGAAATTTTCAAAAAAAAAATTAAAGTTGAACTACTTTTTGATTTAAAAAAAAAAACGTTAGATTCAGCAAAAATTTTTTTCATACCTCAGCTCAAAGTGGTTTGTTTTTGGTGAAAATTATATGAATCAGAAGGAAATGCTTTGGGTAATTAGAAAATCTAAAAGCAAACTTAATTTAAGAAACTTACAAGCCCAGAACCAGTCGAAATTGCGGTTCAGGTCGACACCCGCACAGCACACAGTGCTAAACGTCGAACGATGACACTTGGCGGGACTTCGATTTTTTCTCCACATTCGATTCTGAAAAATAGTTGCATTGGCTGGAAAATTGACTTTCTAGAATGTTTGAAGTTTAGATTTTTAGAAATTATCGTTTTTTTGAATTTTAGAAATTTCTGAATTTCTGAATTTCTGAATTTCTGAATTTCCGAATTTCTGAATTTCTGAATTTCTGAATTTCCGAATTTCTGAATTTCTGAATTTCTGAATTTCTGAATTTCTGAATTTCTGAATTTCTGAATTTCTGAATTTCCGAATTTCTGAATTTCTGAATTTCTGAATTTCTGAATTTCTGAATTTCTGAATTTCTGAATTTCTGAATTTCTGAATTTCTGAATCTCCGAATCTCTGAATTTCTGAATTTCTGAATTTCTGAATTTCGGAATTTCTGAATTTCTGAATCTCTGAAAGAATTTCTGAATTTCTATTTTTCTGAAGTTTCTGAATTTCTGAATTTCCGAATTTCTGAATTTCTGAATTTCTGAATTTCTGAATTTCTGAATTTCTGAATTTCTGAATTTCTGAATTTCTGAATTTCCGAATTTCTGAATTTCTGAATTTCTGAATTTCTGAATTTCTGAATTTCTGAATTTCTGAATTTCTGAATTTCTGAATCTCCGAATCTCTGAATTTCTGAATTTCTGAATTTCTGAATTTCTGAATTTCGGAATTTCTGAATTTCTGAAAGAATTTCTGAATTTCTATTTTTCTGAAGTTTCTGAATTTCTGAATTTCCGAATTTCTGAATTTCTGAATTTCTGAATTTCTGAATTTCTGAATTTCTGAATTTCTGAATTTCTGAATTTCTGAATTTCCGAATTTCTGAATTTCTGAATTTCTGAATTTCTGAATTTCTGAATTTCTGAATTTCTGAATTTCTGAATTTCTGAATCTCCGAATCTCTGAATTTCTGAATTTCTGAATTTCTGAATTTCTGAATTTCGGAATTTCTGAATTTCTGAATCTCTGAAAGAATTTCCGAATTTCTATTTTTCTGAAGTTTCTGAATTTCTGAATTTCCGAATTTCTGAATTTCTGAATTTCTGAATTTCTGAATTTCTGAATTTCTGAATTTCTGAATTTCTGAATTTCGGAATTTCTGAATTTCTGAATCTCTGAATTTCTGAATTTCTGAATTTCTGAATCTCTGAATTTCTGAATTTCTGAATTTCTGAATTTCTGAATTTCTGAATTTCTGAATTTCTGAATTTCTGAATTTCTGAATTTCTGAATTTCTGAATTTCTGAATTTCGGAATTTCTGAATTTCTGAATCTCTGAATTTCTGAATTTCTGAATTTCTGAATCTCTGAATTTCTGAATCTCTGGATTTCTGAATTTCTGAATTTCTGAATTTCTGAATTTCCGAATTTCTGAATTTCCGAATTTCTGAATTTCTGAATTTCTGAATTTCCTGAAATTCCTGAAATTCCTGATTTCCTAAAATTCCCGATTTTCTAAATTTCTGAATTTCTAAATTTCCGAATTTCTGAATTTTTGAATTTCTGAATTTCTGAATTTCTGCATTTCTGAATTTCTGAATTTCTGAATTTCTGAATCTCTGAATTTCTGAATTTCTGAATTTCTGAATTTCCGAATTTCTGAACTTCTGAATTTCTGAATTTCTGCATTTCTGAATTTCTGAATTTCTGAATTTCTGAATCTCTGAATTTCTGAATTTCTGAATTTCTGAATTTCCGAATTTCTGAATTTCTGAATTTCTGAATTTCTGAATTTCTGAATTTCTGAATCTCTGAATTTCTGAATTTCTGAATCTCTGAATTTCTGAATTTCTGAATTTCTGAATTTCCGAATTTCTGAATTTCTGAATTTCTGAATTTCTGAATTTCTGAATTTCTGAATCTCTGAATTTCTGAATTTCTGAATTTCTGAATTTCTGAATTTCTGAATCTCTGAATTTCTGAATTTCTGAATTTCTGAATTTCCGAATTTCTGAACTTCTGAATTTCTGAATTTCTGAATTTCTGAATTTCTGAATCTCTGAATTTCTGAATTTCTGAATTTCTGAATTTCTGAATTTCTGAATTTCTGAATTTTTGAAATTTCCAAATTCCTCACCTTCTCTCTAGAATACTCATAACCATCTGGATTCATAACAGGCAAAATATAAAAATCAATATGGTCCATCAGTTTGGCTACTGTAGCATCGTTATCGTAACCCAGTATTAACTCATGAGCAATGTACATTGCAGTAGCCGGAGAGATCCATTCACGAGCATGAATTCCACCATCGATCCACATTGAAATCTTGGAACCCAGTGGATTTCGTTTGCCAGTGATCTAAAAAATTTTTTGAATATTTTGAAAATTAAAATTTTTCAAAATATCACTAATAGGACAATTCTGACATTTCGCAACTGCACAGTTCTGAAACGTCCTGTTGTGAAATTTTTAAAAATGTCCGGATTCCCACCAATCCAAAAAAACCTCTCACCTTCATCACCAAAAGTGTGCGATTCTCATGACTTTGTCCGATATCGATAAGCGTTATCATTGTCGGGTACTCTTTTTTTAATCGCTTCATTTCGGAATGAATCTCGTCCAAACTGTTATATTTATCGTATGCAAATCCGGCAACCGGATTGTAAAATGCATCACTTCCTCGCTCGTTTTCAATCGCTCTGGAAAATTGAGATTGGGCAAGGAATGGGCAAGCCTTGGGCAAGCTATGGGCAGGCTAAGACAAGGAATGGAGAAGCTATAGCTATGGCAAAGGGATGGTCAAGCCATGACCAAGAAAAGGAAAAGCCATAGACAATCAATGGGTAAGCAATGGGCATGCCTTGTCCAAGCCATGATCAAGCCATAGACAAGCCTTGGGCAAACATTGGGCAAACATTGGGAAAGCTATGGGCAAGCCACAGGCAACGAACTGGCAAGAAATGGGTAACACATGGTCAGGGAATGGACAAGCCATGGGCAAACCATGGACAAGCAATGAACTAGCTATGGGAAGGCCAGGGGCAAGACTTATGCAAGCCTTGGGCAAGCCATAGGCAAGCGGCATGGAATGGACAAGATATGGTCAAAGAAACTTACTTTGATAAATCATTGACTGCAACTATGTAATTGATGTTTTTGGATTCCAAATCTTTCACAAATTGTGGAGCATCTGATGGAGCAACAGTTAAATCCACAATGGCGCCTGAAAAAAACCTTTTATTGGGCAAGGGATGGGCAAGTCGCTAAGGATGTGTAGGTGATAGGCAAGAGATGGTCAAGGGATGACTAAGGGATGTGCAGATGATGGGCAAAGTATGGCCGAAGAATGCAAGCTTTGGACAACCCATGTACAAGGAATGGGCAAAGGATGGGCAAGGAACTGCCGAAGGATGGCTGAGGGATGGATAAGCGGGGCCTTCAAGATATGGACAAGCATTGGGCAAGGTGGACCAAGGGAAGGGCAAGGGATGGGCAAACCTTGGGCAAGGAGTGGGCAAGAAATGGGCAAAAACTTACCGATATGCGTTGGAGGCTGCCAGAAATCCAATTCGTATGGTGATGGATCCTCGTAGAGACTTCGCAAGTATTTAACACTATTTTCGGTTTCCGGATTTATTCGAATTAGTTTGAAACTGAAAAAATTGGAAATTCAGGAATTCTAGAAAGTTTCGAATTCTCGATATTTTGTAGTTCAGAATTTGACAAAATTCTAGAAAATTCTGAAATCCTGAGATTCAAAAATTCAGAAATTCAAAAATTCAGAAATTCAGAAATTCAGAATTTCAAAAATTCAGAAATTCAGAAATTCAGAAATTCAGAAATTCAAAAATTCAGAAATTCAGAAATTCAGAAACTTCAGAAAAATAGAAATTCAGAAATTCAGAAATTCAGAAATTCAGAAATTCAGAAATTCAGAAATTCAGAAATTCAGAAATTCAGAAATTCAGAAATTCAGAAATTAAGAAATTCAGAAATTCAGAAATTCAGAAATTCAGAAGTTCAGAAATTCAGAAATTCAGAAATTCAGAAATTCAGAAATTCAGAAACTTCAGAAAAATAGAAATTCAGAAATTCAGAAATTCAAAAATTCAGAAATTCAGAAACTTCAGAAATTCAGAAATTCAGAAGTTCAGAAGATTCCCAAATTTCAAAATTTTGTTCAGAATTTTAGAAAGTCAACGATTCCGAATTTCTAGAAATTTCAAAAATGTGGATTCTCCGAAATCAGAATTTTCAGATTCCTAGTTTTCTTACAGATTTTTATTTTTACGACCGCGTTGCTCAAAATCTTAAAAAACGAAACTTACTTATGAAACGCCGAGTTCTCCTCCGTGTTATGTATGCCTTCTACAGTTCTAATGAAGTACAGTAATCCAAAAACTAGAATCAAAAAATTTCGTCGCATTTCTCAAAGGTCGTCTATCTGAGAGAAGACACGAAATGCTCCAGTGGTCAGCACAGTAGTAGCCCCCAAAAAGAAGAAGACGATATTTTGACATTTTGTCATATTTGAAGAGAGAAAAGAGAGAGAGAGAGAGAGAGAGAGAGAAGCGAACTTTTGCGGGTGGTGGACAATGCGCACGATGGAAAAGAGCAAATATGGGAAAAGAATATCGTGAACACTGAATTAGGTGTCTATTTTTTGAATCTTCCCCTTTTTCGGCAAGCTTCTGGAAGGTTCTGAGAGGAGATTAATGAGTAATCAAAAGATAAATACACTAGAAAAAACATTTTCCGTAAATGCTCAGCCTGTGCGTACACTTTCAGCTCAATTATCTCGATTCCTACAAAAGACTTCAAAAAGAGGTCAACTGATAAATTGTTTATCATGATATCACCAATATTTTATCAGTTGACAAAATTTTGATATCTCTCACAGGAACCGAGATAATTGAGCTCAAAAAAACATTGTAAGCTGCGCGGTCGCAAGTAACGGCTGCCGAGATATGTCAAGCCAAAGCTTCTTTCACTATCAATATTTTCCAATTATCTTAATTGCATATTATAGAAAAATTTAAGAGCTACAAAGTGACATAACTCAGAAACCAGTATCTTATCTGTGAAAATATGACCTAGAAAAAAAAGTCATGACCTAGAAAATTCAAATCGTGACCTAGAAAAAGCTAGGTCCTTACCTAGAAAAAATTAGATCGTGACCTGGAAAAAACTAGGTGAAAATGTGTGTGTGTGTGTGTGATTCCATTTATGATTCCAAATTCAAAAATTTATATACATACAAAAGGGAAACAGCTTTCTTCAAATAGAAAAATCAACAGAAATTGCAAGAATAGGCGCAGTTCTCTCTCATGAAAATTGGAACCGTTCGACACAGCTCTTCCCTCTCTTGAACCCATCTTTTACATGCGTGTCGAACATCGAAACACGATCCTTCGGTGCCGTCGCCGAATCGAAACCCGCGAGCTTTTGGTGCTTCTGTAATTGGATACTGTAGAGGGGTTTAGAAATAGACTTGAGGATGACTGGAGGATTAGTTTCAAGGATCTCTGGAGGCGATTTTGAAGAGCAAGAGGAGGTTAAAATTAGAAAAAATTTTGAATCGGAATCTTTTTTTTTTTGGAATTTCGTGTTTCATGGATACTGTAGGTTTTTGGGGATCAGTTTCGAGGAGCTCTGGAAGCTAATCTAAAGTGGAGGTCAAAAATTTCGTGAGAAAATTCTTAGTTTTTTTAAAATCAATTGTCAAATAATTTTAAAAAGAAATTAGTTTTTTTTTGGAATCTCTGAGTTTTAAAATTTCGGAATTCACAGTTTTTTTGGTGCATTTGTAATTAGATACTGTAGGTTTTTGAGGGGATCCGTTTCAAGGAGTACGGTAGGCAATTTTGATTTCTGAATTTCTGAATTTCTGAATTTCTGAATTTCTGAATTTCTGAATTTCTGAATTTCTGAATTTCTGAATTTCTGAATTTCTGAATTTCTGAATTTCTGAATTTCTGAATTTCTGAATTTCTGAATTTCTGAATTTCTGAATTTCTGAATTTCTGAATTTCTGAATTTCTGAATTTCTGAATTTCTGAATTTCTGAATTTCTGAATTTCTGAATTTCTGAATTTCTGAATTTCTGAATTTCTGAATTTCTGAATTTCTGAATTTCTGAATTTCTGAATTTCTGAATTTCTGAATTTCTGAATTTTTGAATTTCTGAATTTCTGAATTTCTATTTTTCTGAAGTTTCTGAATTTCTGAATTTCCGAATTTCTGAATTTCTGAATTTTCGAATTTTCTGAATTTCTGAATTTCTGAATTTCTGAATTTCTGAATTTCTGAATTTCTGAATTTCTGAATTTCTGAATTTCTGAATTTCTGAATTTCTGAATTTCTGAATTTCTGAATTTCTGAATTTCTGAATTTCGGAATTCCTGAATTTCTGAATTTCTGAATTTCTGAATTTCTGAATTTCTGAATTCCTGAATTTCTGAATTTCTGAATTTCTGACATTTCTGAATTTCTGAATTTCTGAACTTCTGAATTTCTGAATTTCTGAATTTCTGAATTTCTGAATTTCAGAACTTCTGAATTTCTGAATTTCTGAATTTCTGAATTTCTGAATTTCTGAATTTCTGTA